TGTTACATAAAGGGATCATTGAGTTAAGAATCTTAAATATTAGAAACTGTTTGTATTGGATAAACGTTTTATAAAGACCAAAAAAGAATGAGTATATTTATGAGTGACTTGAATTTTACTGATTTAAATGAGAAATAATTAAAAGGCATTCCATTACAAAATAAACATGTATCTTAGTGCAAAAACTAATGCCCATGAGGGTGTCCTCCTTTAGTTGCATGTTCGAAATTTCTTCCAGGTTTGGAGGTCATGAAATTCTTCAGTTTTTTTCTTTGGAAAAATCGTGCCTCATGTTCATTGTTGTAGTTTTCATAATTTTGCCACAGTTTAAGGCTTGTTTTTATTTGTTTCAGAGGAAATTCCAGTTGGTAAACCAGGGTTATGGTGTGCTGCTGGTGTGGAAACTTTCCCAAATGTCTCTGGGCCTAAAGCAACACCTTTTCATTAAATGACGTAAGTCCCCCAAGGCCCTTTGCAGAGACCACATTTAGTCAGTAAACAATAAACATACTCCAAAGCAAGACATGCACTCTTTTGGTAAACTGAAAAAGAAATAGAGGCCATTTTTGTGTATGTTACTACCTTACATGTTAATTAAACTTATTTTTCTCATAACATAAGCATCTGCCCCCCCACCCCAGTTTTTGCAACAAATTCTTTTTTAAAAATATTTATTTTTAGAGAGAGGAGAAAGAGAGGGAGAGAAAAATCAATTGGTTGCCTCTCACACACCTATAACTGGGGACCTGGCCCACAACCCAGGCATGTGCCCTGACTGGGAATTGAACCAGCAACCTTTTGGTCTGCAGGCTTGTGCTCAATCCATGGGGCCACAGCAGCCAGGACTCTGCAAAAATTAATAAAATTTGGATGCAATCAAATTTTGCTGGGCAGAAATTTGTTATGAAAAAAAAAAACCTCAAAATTGTTTTTCAAAAGTTTCTAAAAATATGTCATCAAAATGTACCAATCCATGATAAATCAATAGAGGTTTATAACATCTCATGGTTTCTGATACCTGTTTTCCTCCACTGACTGACACCAAGAGTGAGCAGTGGGGTTACTGCCAGAAGACTCAGACTTGAGCAGCTTTGCTCTCTGGGGCAAACGCCCCTGCGCAGGGGCAAAGGACAATAGTAAGAGTAGAGTTTGCACAGCACACTGTGCTGTTTGCAAAGTGTAATCCGGTTGGGAAATAGTCCAGCCTCTGCGCTGAGTTTTGCTGACACCCCCACTCACTGCCCCTGAAATCAGAGACCTGCTGTGCAGGCCAATCTCCTGTAGGATGTCAGGCTGCCCAGTTTGGGCTGAGGTCCACCCAGGACCTGCTTTGTTTCTGTGAGTTTCTAAAGAGCAAGAGGGAAGTCAATATTTGGAAAACTCTCTTTCCTCAAATAATCTGAGAAAATTACTTCTGTGTGGCTCCTATAGGTTTTATTTAACCTTTGGGCTTATCTGTTTCTCATGTAAATATTTTTTTCACTTATTCAGGAAAACCACTTGACTAAAGATGGCTGGCCTAACTCATGGGCTTCAGTGAATGAAAACCAAAATATAAATATAAAAGGAGTTGTAAAGGCTGAAAAGGTCCATACAGATTAAAGTAATCATTGTTATATCTCTGAAATGAATGAAATAGTGTATGTACACATGTGCGTGTATGCGAGTGTGTGTGTGTGAATAATCACAGAGGTTAAAACACGTGTTTAGATTTATACTTGCAAAACTGGACACAGAGGAACCCATCTTTCCATTACCGTGATGGGTATTACCTGCTTAGATAAGGCTTTAGCCTTTTCTTCCACTTCCTTCAGGCACATTTCCAAGGCCTCCAGATGTGCCAAAATACACGTCGTCTGTCCAGTTTCCAGGGACTCTTTCTTTAAAAAAAATAAGTATCACTTTTTGACATGGATAGTGTACTGAGCACAGCTCAAACAACTTTATGGACTAAGGATAGGCTGAATAAACTCATACATACCATCTCTTTTTTCTTGAACACAGTAATAAGACAGTGAAACATTACAAAAACAACAGTCCTATTTAACATTTAGCTTCTAAAAGAAGGGTAAAAGTGCATATTAAATTATGATAAAGAATAGCTTTAAAACGTTAAAATAAAATCACCCATGTTGGAATTAGGTCAGTCTGAAACTTTTATTCTTCAGACAAAGGAAACTTTCCTTCAAAAGGGTAAGGCCAAAATTTCACATTCCTAATAAGAGATGTCACCAAGACCGCCTACATTTTTAACATTTACCTCTCTTGAGGAACAGTCGCCTGAATTCAGAGACACTCGTTTCCTCTGTCACTTTCTTATCACAAGTTCCATTAAAGCAGAGGTGTCAAACCCATTTTCAGCAGGGGCCACATCAGCCTCGCAGTTGCCTTCAAAGGGCCGAATGTAATTTCAACTCCTTAACAGTTAAGGGGTAGTTACATTTATACAGTCCTAAAATTATTTCGGCCCTTTGAAGATAACCGTGAGGCTGATGTGGCCCCCAGTGAAAATGAGTTTGACACCCCTGCATTAAAACAAAGAAATGAGATGGTTTAGAACCAGATCACCCTTCCCCAGAGCGCAGCTAATGTGACTCAAATCAGCAGATGTGTAGACTCTGCCCCTCCAAATTGTTCCAAAGTTGCTTTTTTTCTCATCTGAAAGCAGACGAGTATGCACAGTTGGTACAGAGATCTCAGTCACAGGCCCTACTGAGGCTGGAGGGCTTCCTGACTACTCCTTGGTTATTGAGATGATTAATTAAAATTACACAACAATATGAAAAGTCAAAAAGAAAAACCTGCTACTCTGTTGTTTTCACTTTGGTTTAGGAGCCCACTGATTTCATACATGCGCATTTCCTGGTTATACAATAGAGCCATCTGCTGGCCAATAGAACCAGCCATAAAAATAAAGCATTCCTTCAGTTCTTACAATTGTCACATAGTACTCTGACCCTCTAATGGGCTTTGACATGGGCTTCTGTTATAAATGGAACTCACGGGATGAGGGGCAAAGAAATGTTGCTAGGGCTCCAAAATAGCCTGGCTAGTAGGTCAGCAGTGGCTGCATTATCTCCCCCAAAAGTTGGCTTTTGGGGCATGAACATCTTGGGCTAACGTGCTGACGCTTGGGATGAACCAATGATCCTCAGCATGCCATGATGATTCCAATAATTTTTAAGAATCAGTCAAAAACAAATTGAAAAAAATACAACGAGCCTCAAAACAAAGTCTTGTGTATTTACACTTACAGATAATTCATCCTGTAAAACGTTTTATGCAGGAAGGGAAAATTGTCAAGAGGCCAAACTAGTCCCAAAAGATTGGGAATCCCTAATGTAGCTGTTTCCAGGAAGGATCTTGTTGTATAATGTTGGATCTTAAGAGGAAGTTTTAAAAATTTTTGTGAGCAGACCAAGCAAGATCAGCTAATCCATTTCTCTAGGTGTTTTGTCTCCAAGCACCTCAGATTTGCCCAGCCAAAGACAACCATTCCCAGTAAGACAAGCCATTGCATGTAAAGCTAAAAGAAACACGCTTGACTGAAGACTGTTATTAAATAACATAGGACTTTCGTACAGGTAGATTTAAGAAGTTGTCACGTGTTATAGAACAGAGAGTCCTGAGCAAACCGTGAAGAATGCAGTCTGTCTTCATTACCCCAACTGCAAGCTATCACTCTCCCCTCTCCGACTTACCTTATTGTTTCCCCACTCCCTTAAGGGCAAGGGCCATAAGTGCATCTTCACCGAGGTAAAAGGGCTTATACAAACACAGGTGCTTTTTAACAGCCGGCAACTCCCATTAGCCAAACAAAGGGATAAAATCCTTTGTTTCAGGATAATTGAGAATGATTTCAGAAATAAGCAACCATGTGGGGTTAGGAGTTTTGGAGGCAGAGGTGTGGTTTCAAGGATCCTTAATAAAAAGTTAGGCATGGTCATTGTCACGTCACGGTTTTGCAGGATGCGACGATGGTGGAGGAGCAGGAGGGTGGGACTCACACCATTAAGTGCATTCTGATTCAGGTGCATGTGGACACACCCTCCAGGAAGCAATTTATGTTTATCATGAACATAAATCTGTCTTGATGATTAAAGTAACTGATGAATGAATTATACTTCTAAAAAGTCAGTTATATGACATCACATATTGAAATTATATGATGTGTACAGGTGTTTGAGGTTTAACCTGTGTCTGTAGATTTTTCAAACAGTAAATTCCAGCAATTCAATGGAACTTTTAGTTTTTAAATTCTACTCTTTGTCTTAAAATTTTATACCTAAATATCAAGCTGGTAATCCAGGTACATGTACTAAATTGATCATGACGATCAAACTAAAAGAATTCTACAGAGTAAAATATTCAATAAACTCTTTGATTCTGGTAAATGCACTAAACTATTATGTATGTGTATCAAAGACGACAGTTTCCAAATTGACCAATCCTATACAAAATTGTAAGAGTAGGTTATCTTTTGACCACAGAGGTTCCTCATTTGAGAATCTGGAGGAAAATCTCCCTTTTTTTCTAATTTAATTTTCATTGATTTCTCTAACTCATGTAAATCTCTTTTCATTGTCTCTTTTCTTTTAAAATTAAATTTATTGTGGTGACATTGGTTAACAAAATTATATAGGTTCCAAGTGCACAGTCTATAAATACATTACTTGTCTGTTGCACTGTGTTTACCTCCCAACATCAAGTCCCCTTTCTCGCTGTTAAGTCAGTATTTGTTTGTCTTACAATGACCTTGCTCTTCTTTCTCAGACATACAAACCCCTTCCACCCTTTTGGACTGGTTCAAGGTCTGATTGATCCGAATCCTCCACCCACCTCAGAATCCACGTGCAGTACTTAGAAAAGCCCCTGTGTCGGGGGGGGGGGGGAGGCGGGGGCAGGCAGCACTGCCCTGAACATTTACTAGGAGCTCAGAAAATAGTTGTTGCTTCCAGAAAGACTCTGTCCGCAGTCAGAAAGGTGGTTGCACCAGAAACAGCAATCATTCTGAGAGGCTGCACCAGTGACTTCTTTGAGCAATATTTTCCATGCATCCAGCCTGGAACACTTACAGGGATGGGAGCCTTAGAGAAATTCTGCTTGCCGGGCTGGGTGCAAGATAGTGCAGAGGGCAGCAAGGAGATGACCGTGAAGCTGAGTGATGATGACAGACCTGTTGTGAGGATTAAATGAGGTAAAGCAGGTGCCTGCTTCGACAGGTGAAGTGTCCAATTAATGTTGTTATTAATAATTCCATCATACTAACTCCCCTCTTTAAAGAGAATCACTTAATCTTAAAACTTCCTAGCTTATTTTTAAACCCTAGTAAAAGAAATTCCCCATGGAGACATTTTTGTAACAGCAAATGATCAAACAACAGCTTTGGGAAATTCAGCCAAGCGTGCAGTCAGAACAAAGTTAATATGTTAAATATGTGCATTTATTTAAAAGCAAGATTGCTAACTAAAGATGTGGTTATAGAAAATTTAATCTTTACGGAAGAGCCTTTTGACATGGGCCAGTTTAGTACAATGAAATGTTTCTAACAGTCTGAAGCTTCAGACGCCCAGGGTTCCAGCATGAGCCCCTGCTCAGTAATGCAGTAATGTTTCGCCAGATAAAACATGCTTTCCATAGTCAAGTTTTCTCCTTGATGAGTTGTCTATTTACTGCTGCTGTCTATTGCTCTTTCCCCTTTCTTGACAGCCTCTGAAGGCTCTAACATTTTTTACCCTTCTACAACCTGTTTGCATTTCTCACACAGGTTAAAGTCTCTCCCCAAAGCCCTAGCTCAGCCCCTGACCCTGGGCAGCTCTCATCATCCTCGCCCCTGTCTTTGGTGGTCAGAGTTCATTTTAGAGTGGAAATTTTATGACTCTCACGCCCTTCTTGACTCAACATTGCAGTAGTTTCTTAGGCTAAATTTTCCATTTCTATTTAGGCAACAATTTAAAACTTAGTTTTCCTGATTTCAATGAATTCTTGTGAAAACAGTATCCTCTGTATTTGAGGTTGCCTCAGGAGTCACCTAATAAAATATCGTTTTAGTTCCAAACTTGAACAAACTATTGAATACAACTATTGTCAAAGCTCAGTAGAAAGAGGGTTCTAAGAAGTGCCCACCAATGTGACTATGCAGCAGATGGCCATGGGAGGGTGACGGATGAGTGCTGACTAAGGACCCTGTAATCTTGAAGGCCATGGTCTGGACATCCTGACTGTCTGACTTGAGCTATGTGACTTTCAGGATTCATTTCTTGGGGCCTCAGTTTTTCATCTTTAAATGATGAATATATTGGTCAGATCCCAGTGGGAAACATGGCCATTCCAGTGGAACTATTGAGGGAATTTTAACGAAGGAACTATATACGAAGGTATGGACACAGTTAAGGACATCAACAAAGTATGGTGAGGCACCCCCTAAAAGTAAAGTTACCATTTGCCTTACCTTAAAAAGGTAGGGAAGAGTCCTGGTCAGGTGGCTCAGTTAGTTGGAGCATTGTCCCATGCACCAAAAGGTTGGAAGTTCAATTCCCTATCAGGGCACATACCTAGGTGGTATGTTTGATCCCTGGTCTGGGTGCATTCAGGAGGCAACCAGTCAACATTTCCCTCTCTCTCTCTCTCTCCCTCTCTCTCCCTCTCTCTCTCTCTCTCTCTCTCTCTCCCTCTCTCTGTCTTTCCCTCACTCTCCCTCTCTCCCTTCCTCTCTCTTTAAAATCAATAAACATATTTTCAGGTGAGAATTAAACAAAAATAGGTTAGGGAAGAGGTACAGGTTCAAGAATGAGAGCTTGTGGAGAGGGCTACCCCATGAGCTGAGACTTTGGATAGAGGAATACAGCCCCTGCCACCCTGTGTCCAGGCAGTAGTGGCAGATGAATCAGTGGAATAAATAGCCTCCGCCCTTCCATCTGTATCTCCCTTGGGCTGAACCCAACAAGAAACCAGAGGGCAAGATAGCCTGAATGACAATTACAGAGAGACCAGCTTCCCAGGAAAAGAGCAACATAGGGGGAGGGTAGAAAGGGAATCTGGAAGGAAGAGAAAGAAACCTCAGGCCATATGGATTTAATTACATGTACCAGTCCAGTTCTCCCAACACCATTTATTGAAGAGACTGTCTTTACTCAATTGTATGCTCTTGCCTCCTTTGTCAAATATTAATTGACCATAGTGACATAGGTTTATTTCTGGGCTCTCTATTCTGTTCCATTGATCTATGTGTCTGTTCTTATGCCAGTACCACATTGTTTTGATTACAGTGGCCTTGTAGTACAGTTCGGTATCGGGTGCTGTGATCCCTCCAACTTTGTTCTTTCTCAAGATCCTGAGCTTATTCAGAGTCATTTTTGGTTCCATATAAATTTTTGGAATATTTTTTCTAGATCTGTGAAATATGCCTTTGGTATTTTAATGGAAATTGCACTCAATCTATAGATTGCTTTGGGTAGTGAGGACATTTTAATGGTGCTAATTCTTCTTCTGATCCATGAACATGTTATTTGCTTCCACTTATTTGTAGCTTCCTCAGTTTTTTTTTAAGTGTCCTGTAGTTTTCCAAGTATAGGTGTTTCACCTCCTTGTTTAAATTTATTCCTAGGTACTTTATTTTTGTTGTCTTTGTTATTGTTGGAATAGTAAATGGGATTGTTTTCTTAGTTTCTCTTGCTATAATTCATTATTATGTATATATAATACATGCATTATACATTGTCATTATGCTGTATAAAATGCAACCAATTTCTGAATACTGACTTTGTATACTGCTGTGTTGTCGAATTCATTTATTGGGTAGAGCAGTTTTTTGGTGGAGTCTGTAGAGTTTTCATGTCATCTGTGAATAATGACAGCTTTATTTCCTCTTTTCCAATTTGGATATATTTTATTACTTCTTCTTGTCTGGTTGTTGTGGCTAGGACTTCCAGTACTATTTTGAGTAAGAGTGGTGATAGTTGTCATCCCTATCTTGTTCCTGATCTTTAGGGAAATGCTGGTACATGCAAAAAAATGAAAGTAGACCACCATCTTACACCATACACCAGAATAAACTTAAAATGGATAAAAGTCAAATATAAGTTATAATATCATTAAAATCCTAGAGGAAAACATAGGCAATACAATTTCAGATATTTTACATAGCAGTATTTTTGCCAATATATCTCCTAGGGCAAGGGAAATAAAGGAAAAAATAAATAAATGGGACTACATCAAATTGAAAAGCTTCTGCATAGCATAAATCACCCTCAAAATGAAAAGGGAACCAACTATATGGGAGAACATATTTTCCAATGATACATTGGAAAAGTGCTTAATCTCCAAAATATATAAAGAACTTACACAACTCAACATCAGGAAGACATAGAATCCAATTAAAAAGTGGGCCAAGGACCTGAATAGACACCTCTCCAAGGAGGACATACAGAGGGCCCATAGACGTATGAAAAGATGCTCAACATCATTAGCCAATGCAGAAATGCAAATTAAAACCACAATGAGATATCATCTCACACCTGTCAGAATGGCCATCATCAATAAATCAACAAACAACAAGTGCTGGTGAGGATGTGAAGAAAGGGGATCCCTAGTGCACTGTTGGTTGGAATGCAGACTGGGGCAGCCACTGTGGAAAGCAGTGTGGAATTTCCTCAGAAAACTAAAAATGGAACTGCCTTTTGACCCAGCAATTACACTGCTGGGAATATACCCAAAGAATCCCGAAACATCAGCTCAAAAGAATTTATGCACCCCCATGTTCATAACAGCCCTACTTACAATAGCCAAGATTTGGAAGCATCCTAAGTGTCTATCTGTAGAGGAGTGAATAAAACAACTGTGATACATTTATACAATGGAATACTATGCAGCAGAAAGAAGGAACTCCTACCTTTTGCAACAGCATGAATGGAATTAGAGACTATTATGCTAAGTGAAGTAAGCCAGTCAGGGAAAGACAAATACCATATGTCCTCATTTATAAGAGGAATCTAATGAAAAAAAAATAAACTATTGAGCAAAATAGAACCAGAGGCATAGAATCATGGAACAGACTGACAGCTATAAGAGGGGAGGCGGGTATGTGGGGACTAATTGAAAGAAGGTGAAGGAATTAGTCAAAGAACATGTATGAAGGACCCCTGGACATGGACAATGGTGAGGTTACTGATTATGGAAGTGGGGGTGGACTGGGTGGAGGGGAGCAAAGGGGAAAATGGGACAACTGTAATAGCATAAACAATAAAATATTTAAAAATAAAAAATAAAGTTTCCATTGAAATTAAAAAAAAACAAAAACAAAGGGGTTTAATTATATTAGTGGGCCCCAATTGTCAGCCCATAGATCAGTGTTGAATATGATAACATTTTCACCAGTTAGCAAGAAAAAGACAAAGAATTTAAAAAGAACATTGTAAAGTTTTCATGAAGCCAAATTTACCCCATGTAGAGGACAGTCCATTATTCTGAGATTTTAGTTCTATATATTGTGGTGTTAAGAGGACTTTTTTAAACAAATGGTGGTGATAGTATATGGAAATTATTGTGTTTTCATGTTTTTTTTCCTAGACAAAGTGGAAAAGTTGATAGTTTTATGAGGCCTGACCCCAGTTATTTGGGGATGAACATTCTTATGGCTTTATGAAATCTAAAAGTTTAGAGACTGTCTATCTAAATCATCTGTTAAATTATGAATTGAATGTTTTGTCAGGAGCTCTTTCGAGAACTATGGTCCCTGAATTCCTCTGGACCAAGTTCAGGATGGACCTGTATTCAATGTCAAGTTGCTTTAAGAAGGTTCCAAGATACTACTTTTCTAGAAAATACCTGTTTACAAAGGTCAGTCTTTCAAAAAAGATACAATTACTCTTCCATTTCTATAGCTTCACTGATAAAAAATAATAGAAGGAAAAAGTATCAGAAGGGACTTGTTGACTCAGATTTTAACTTGTAAAAGGATTGTTGGCATGGAAGCTGAAGAGAAATGACCATGTGACATTTGATAGCTTCATAAATAACTTTAAACAATGGCTTACCCATAACTCTGAATGGGCCAGCTCTTATTTTAATTCAGTTCAAAGCATTTCAATTTATTAAGAAAAGATTTGATATCTTTAAAAAATAAAGAAAAGGGATAGTAGGGAGTTGTCATTTAATAGGTACAGAGTTTTAGTTTTGCAAATGAAAATGGAGATCAGTTTCACAAAAATATGAACATGCTTTATACTACTTAATTGCACACTTAAAAATGGTTAAAATAGTCAATTTTATGTTATATGTATTTTACATTAAAAATAAAAAATAATATCAAACAAATGTAGAAAGCAGGTAAATTACAGAGAGAAGGAATTAATAAATATTAAAATCAATTCAACTACTCTTTACTTACTTCCCAGGATTGCTGTGAGAACACAGTGAACACAGGGAGATTGAAATAATAAGTACTATTAAATGAAACATAATAAGGGAAAAACACAACAAAAGAATCTTATTGAAAGAAAGGATTTTTGTTCCTTTAATAAAGAAAACATCCTTTAAAAAGTCTTATTTCTTCTGCAGCATATAATAATGTAAGTACTCTTCCTATTTTTAAAGATAGTGCTTTGAATAGTTGAGTGTTCGGTGTCAGGATTATTTGTTTTCTCACACGTCATACAGAAGTTTAGGTTTTGAGTACTTGGGCACGCTGATCAGTGCCATTCCCCCTCCCCCTGGTTTCCCAGTGCTGTAGGAAGTGTACATGCCTGTAGGAAGAATGAGTTGTAATTTCAGGTCAGCCTATAAGTAAAAGGAAACAACTTTACTGCCCATATTAACTGAGGTTTTTCAACTTAGCTTTGTGAATAAAACATTACTAAACTGTGTATAATCAGCAACAAATGTTTTATAATTAACAGTGTTCGGACTGAAGTTTTTTTTTGTTTGTTTGTTTTTTTAATTTCTGCCAGTTAAATTTAGGCTCTAAATAAGAAAACATTTTAAGTCGAAGAAATTTAACTGCAATGATAAGAACTTCGGTACTCCAGTGATGTGGTTCCCAAAACCTGACAAGGGAATCCTTAACTGAACCTGATGTTCCATGAGAAACTGTTTCCATGAGCGCACACCGCCTCGCCCAGCCTGGCATCTGCACAGACTCCCTTCTTTACCAAGATTTGAAGGAGAAATGTGTCAGGCATTCTTTTGGATCAGATAAAAGTTTAGCAACAATTTCCATAGTACATTCCAATATGATAAGGTAAGCAGAGAACAGATGGAAGAGCTCTCTTTTGCTGTGAATTTCCACTTCTTTTAAGGTCTCCCAGTCGAAATATCACCAAGAGGCATGGCTGGAATATCAGAGGAGGTGGCGTGGTGAGTCTGCTATTCGCGGGCCTCACCTTTCTCACTTGTGAAGTAAGAAGACTATTATATCTAATTCACCTTGCTCTCTTTGGTGGGTATTTGTCATGCTGTTTTGATGGTCCAGTGTCTTTCACTGTTTGGAGAATTTCCCATCTTCCCAAAATATAAGCCAAGAACTCCCACTCAAGCATCCTTTGCAGCCAAGTTGTAGGCATGTGTCTCCACCAGAAACACCAGCCTGAGACTTCAAAATGGAAAAGAGTGATATGAAATAGGTGCCAAATAGAATGGAATCTGACCAGGTTGAGAGGCTGTGGTGACAGAAGACTTAGAACTGATATCTCATCTTCAGGGAAGTAATAAATAATGGAGGGCTTATGTCCAGTGGCAGCAGTAATTGGTTCCTCACCTGAATCTGGCAGGGTAATTGTGTGTAGTCTCCAAGCTGGATTCTCTGATTCTCCTAGAGAGCCTCTGAAATACCCATTATCCTTTAATAATTCATTTCCCCTTAATACTAACTAGAATGGGTTCTATTGAATTTAAATGTAAATCTGACTTATTATTACTTACTGTTCATGCAAGTTTAAGTAAGTAATTTATTATGAGCCTTCAATTCCTCACCTCTAAAAATGGGAGAAATGATAACTCAGTAAGGGTTGCTGTGGTGATTAAATGTGGTAATGCAAGAAAATGCCTACTCCTTAGAAGTAAGCTTTTTTAAAAAAGCATCCTCTGTATAAGCTCTGGGTTTTATGTTTCATTGATAAAAGCTTCTGAGAGCTCACATTCTAGGAAAGAACCAGAGAGTTGATCATAAAGACCTGGAACTCTTAGAAATGCCGGTGTCTTGGCATTATGCAACTACATCTTGGCTGGTTACTCCTTGTTGGAAAAAAGTAATTCATTATGCACAATATAAGAGCAAAAATTATTTGGTCTACTCTCTCTCTTTTCTTGTGACCTTCTTGCTAGATATATTCTTTTGGGCTTCTGAAATTAAAAGGGAGAGAATGAGGAAGACGAAGAAGAGCATGAACTAGGGCTAAAAGAAAAAGTTTTCCAAGGAACTTTTCAGAAGAAAGCTTGGGAAAAGCTGTCATGTGAGACAGAAACTTACAGAAAAGAAAAAAAAAGCATTAAAAATATATCTCTGAAAAATTTCTCCACATACTGTATAATTAATGCAATTTGACCTCCAGTATATCGCCGGTGTTCATTGGACCCAAATGTAGTTTTGAGTTCCTGTTTTTAAGTCATTCTATTCATAAAAACCTATATTCCAATGGCTCTTATTCTTTCTTTGAGGTCTTATAAAAAACCAAGGAATATATATTTATTTTTTAAAAATAGAATAAAATTCATTCTGTCTTACAAATACAATACAGATCCATTGGAGTTTTTTCAGATCTAAGCTGTATTATGGAATCTTGGTAATCTTAGTTTCCCTATATATGAAACACATTGTTACTTAATCAGTCCAGGAATTATTTTCTATCATTATTCATCAATTATTTTCAACCAGGACTTTAAAGGTTAAAAAATGTGAAATTGCCTAGGAAGGCAATACAATAGTAAAATTAATAATCACTCTTCATTTTCTTATTGTGTTGCCAAAAGTATTGCATCATCTTTCAAGGTATAAAAGAGAAGACACCATTTTTATGACCTAGTTTTGGCTTTCATTAAACACAGCTGTGAATACTAAACTTTTTTCCAATATGTAATGTCCAAAGAGAAGAAAATTGGTAGAGGAGGGTATTTTACCATGCTGACACGAATCAGGAGATGAATGTGAAGAGCAGCATTCTTGACCAGCACTGTCCAAGGCAGTCATCACTAATCACAGGTGGCATTTCAGGGCTTGAAATGGGGTGAGCTTGAATTGAAATGTGTTGTAAATATAAAATATACACAAGATTTTGAAGACTTCCTAGCACAATAAATAAGAATGTAAGATACCTCAGTACATTTGTATATAGTGATTGCAAGTTGAAATGACAATATTTTTGATAGGTTAAATAAAATATATTATTAAAATTTACAATGTGACTACTAGAAAACTTAAAATTACATGTATGTCTTGCAGTGTATTTCTATGGACAGTGTTGTTCTAGACACTAATGTTGACAGTGGAATTAGTCATGTGAGTGAAATAGACTATGAGACTTCGGACAACAACTTCCTAGAAACAGATGAATGTCCTCAAATTTGTGAATCAGGGAGTGAAAACCATATCTCTAAGGACAAAAAAAGAAATAGGATATTCTCATACAGCAAAGACTATCACACCTTTGGTGATAAGAACTTAGGCTTTCACATTTGCTAAACGGATATGTGATGGTATTCTCCCATCTTTTAAAGTGCTAATGGGCCAAAATTGTTACTTGATACAAGAAGATTTGCTATGTTTAAATTCTTATTAAAATTTCTAATACAGTTTAATTTACATAAGAATAATGGCATAATATAATGTCATTGTTTTTATGTATATTATTTAAAAAATTACTTCAAAATAAAATAAAAAAAAAAGATGGATCCAGACAGTAAATGATGATGACTTGTTCCCTAGTATACTAAGGGTTAATTAAGAACCTGAGTAATTTGAAAGTTACCTTGTGGATATTAAACTACTTTTTTAAAAGCCACAAATCAGTACTGGAATCAAATCATTTGAAACTCAGCATTACATGTTAAGCAGTCACAAAGAAAGTCATTATGAGAGATTTTTTCTAAATTTTCAGTGACATGATTATTAAAATATATATAAGAACGCATCTGAAAGTAGAAAGGCCAAGTCCTGCTTTATTTAAAAGGAGAAGAATGAATAGGATTCCGAATATAGTCACCACAGACATTGGTATTTCTATTTTAAGGAAGAGTCTAGTAGTAATAACCCTTAAGGTAAGTAGGCTGTTTTAGAATTTATAGCATTTTCCTTGGCCATTTGAGGCAAGCAAAATAGAATTCACTCCTTCCCAAAGAATGTTTCTGAACCACACTTATTTAAAAATCTCTCATAATTTAATTTTCCTTTGCATTAATTGTGTGGTTCAAGAGCATTTTCTTTCCTAAAAAACATGGTATGCCCAGCTATTCAATAACAAACATATGGGAACCATTCACATGTTTTATGTGTAGGTCCCAGGGCCAAACTCTGGAGGACAAAGGTGAGTAATCAAATCTCTTTCCCTTCGGGAGCTCATGTGTGATAAAGGTTGAAAAAGGGTGGAAAAATATTCAGATAAGTGAGTTTCAATACTACAAGAATGGGAGAGAAGAAAGGGAAAAAGACATGTATTAAGCATTAACTCTGCTTAATATACAGATCTTTTTCTATATATTATATTCTCAATGAAAGAGAAAAATTATCCATTAACCCTGCCACCCGGAGACTGCAACATGCTGTGGGGTCATGTTTGTGTTCCTTGCCTCCTCAAGTTCATATGTTGAAGCCCTGATGTCTGATGTGATAGTATCAGGAGATGGGCCTCTGAAAAGTTACTAGATGTAGATGAGGTCATCAGGGTGGGGACCTCATGATGGGATTAGTGTCCTTATAAGAAGAAATCAGAGGGCTCTCTCCTTCTGTTACCTTCTCTCTCTCCTGCTGCTTCCTGACCTTTCCCCCAGCCTCCGCATGAGATACAGCAACAAAGCAACCATCTGCCCGCCAGGACCAATCATGCCGGCACCCTCATCTCTGACTTCAGAACTATAAGAAATAAATAAATGTCTGTTTAAGCCCCCCAGCCTGTGGTATTTTGTCAGGGAAGCCCAAGCTATGGCCAACATTGATTCATACTATATGTGGTTATATACAGTTAAATTATAGTTATTTTCAATTAACAATATGTTATAGGTACAATCTGCATTTGAATAATGATGGATGTAATTTTTAACCTTAAAAATTAACATAATTTCCATGGTAACAGTATATTTTATTGTGTACAAATGCAGCTTATCACTACCTGACAACCTAATAAGCATGTTTATACATTTTTGTGAACTTGTTTTTTATTTTTTTACTATATGAATAAAGTGTTTTTTATTGAATTTTATACTGTATACTGGATAAACACTTAAGATTACATTCCCCAAATCAATTCTCCCACCAACACTATAGGAGAAGGGTAGTTTTCTTACATATTATCCTATAATAACATTTTCATACTTTTTTAACTGTCAAATTACAGAAAAATATGGCATATAAGTTTTAAAAAATGTATCACTTTGCCTTCTATTCAGTTTGGAGATTCTATTTGCTAAATACAAGTTTGGACATCTTACTGGATAGTCATAGGTCTTTTTTTGTAAATTATGATTTGTATACTTTGTCCATTTTTTTTTATTTAAGGGTAAATCTTTTCCTCACTGATTTATATGAGACCTTAACATATTAAGGATATTATGTCGTAATAAATGTTACAAATATTTTCTAGTACTTTTTTGAATATTAACAAATGCTTCTTAAATGGGTTGGAAGAGGGGTAAGTGGTAAGTTTGCTTATGAGGTATAGAAATTTCAGGACTAAATTATCTCTTTGTCTTTGTGCATTAATGCTTAACTTTGTTTGAGGAGACAGTAGTCAACTTTTGAAGCAACAAACTCTAATCAGAACTTAGAGAAATCCTTGATTTCTCTGAACCTCATTTAGTACAGATAACACACCACATTGATTCAAATTATTAAATATATTTTGAAATGACTGATTGACTCTGATACCTGATCTAACACAAACAGCTCAGCCATTGACATGGCAACTTGGGATTGTTATCCCAGCAGCATATTTCAGTTTAACAAATCTATTAAAACAGATGAACTCGTGTTGTCCAATCTGCCTGAAGAGACCGAGGGCACCCCGGGGCCAAGCTCCGTCCCAACAGCCTGCATCCCTGTGCTTCTCACTCCCAAGTCGCCCTAGCCTCTCCCAACTTCTCTCCAGGCATCCAAAGAGCACTTCCCCAAGGGAGACTTACTCCTTTGAGAAAGGCTAGATTGAATAATTGTCCTAGCCCTTTGTGGGGTATTCTCTCTCAAGGAAATTTTGAAGTTTTGGAGAGTATTTTTCTTCAGGCCACAGCAATTGAAGTGCTGTCAGTCAGGCTGATGAGATCATCCCCAAAACACACTTCCCCTTGCCCTGTCTTCCTCTGATCTAAACATTCAGGTTTCAGAAGATGAGAAAATTATATGTGAAACTTGTTTATCCAGAATATTAATTCAGAGTAATCCTTGAATTCAACTCATTCTATATGTTTAACTTTTATACATTTAAATGTATACATTTAACTTCCATCCCCATTTTCCATCTCACAGCTTCCTTCCTCTTACACACACAAACTTCTCAACATTTTCACCCTCATGAAAAAGGAAATGTATCAGCACCACACAGCACAAATTAGCATGCTTTCCCCACATAATAGTTTGGAATTTTTTTGCCATGTGAAGGAGCCAAATGGAGAAAAAAATGTCATGGGCATTTGATGAAACCTATTTGCAGACACTCAGATGCTTCAGTTTATAGAGGTCCTTTGCACCACTCATGCCTTTTGGGGAAATTCCGCAAAACAGTCTGTCTGTAAACTCACCGTCAGTGCCACATGTTTTCTAAACTGATTTGTCTGTTGACACTTAAAAAATATAAAGGAACACATTTGCATGTGGAAACAGGACCTTTTGTTTCTTATATATTTACTCTATCACAGAAGTTAAAAACAAAATTGGTCATCTTGTCCAGTTGCTTGCAAAGGATCATTTTCTAAAGGACATGTCTAATTTTTTTTGCCCAACCTCATTTTAAACTGTTAAGATCTTTTTATTGGTCTCTGTTCTCAACTTAAATAGAACTTATTAAGATGAGAAATTCTGGAGCTAATGTTTTCCTTTATTTTTGTATCAATGGCATTTTCTTTCTTTTTTAGTTTAATTATTTCCTTTTTATATCTAGCTTTATATTGCTATAATTGTGTTCACCAAAATATTTCTGAAAATTCTCCTAGGCACATGATATAATTTCACTCCCCTAGGCCTTGAAAATTGTTTATGGCTGATAGCTTCTTTGGCTAATGAAATAGAAGTGGAAGTGGTATGTGTAACTTCCAGGTAAGCACTTGCTGTGTAGTTTGTCCCTCCTATTGCTGCCCGTCTGGATTGCAGAAGTGCATTCCCAGGTAAAGCTTATATCCAGAGGATCCCTTAGTAACTATAATGAATAGAGAGAGACCCTGTGCCTCCTGCCTTGGATGGGTATTCTGAATAAAAAGTAAATTATTCAGATAAATAAAATATTAAGACAAGCCATTAACCACTTGCAACTAATAACCTTCAAAAATTTTAATGATAATCAAATTAAATTGAAAGGAATTGAGCTTCTGGCCTTTCTTGATACTACATTTCTTACCAGTTACAATGGTACCATCATTACCACCTTTATATGCACCTCTTGACCTGAAATCTCTGCTGAAGTTGTTTCTGTATAGAATATAAGCTACACAATTTAGGTAAACT